TGCATAACCAGACGCTACGCCACTGATCTTATTTGTTCTTATCTGTTCATAAAAGTTTTATGTTTAATATAAGTGACTTTGTCATTGTAGCATTGTTGATGTTGTGTGTGTGTGTTTCATTAAGAGTAATACTGAATCAACCTTAAGAATTAATTTTGTTTCAAGAATAGTAAAGACCTAGCGTTAAAGATCAAAATAAGCGCTACAGATGTGAGAATGCGAGATTTGTTGCTGCTGAGGTAGACGCTCTCGCTCTTTCTCTGCTGTCTGTAGAAATGGTTGTTAATTCTTAATTTGGGTACGGCAGAGACATGTTACAGGTTATAATATAATCCAAAAATCATGGCAACAAATGATTTTTTAAGTCAGTTTAATACGTTTAATCAGTTGAGACGACTTTCACAGTCAATTTGATTCAACTTAACTCATATTTAACCGTTGCTTCTTGTCATTGTAGGCTTAGGCTTCTTTTTTTTAATGAATTTTAATGAATATACTAATTAATAAAATGAATATTATTTATTTTGTATTACATATTGTTCATTCATTTATTTTTAACTCAGCACCCTCAGCACCCCCATTTTTTCGTGGGCTACACTCCAGGGGGTGCTGCAGCACCCTCAGCACCCCTACTTCCCATTTCGTGGGCTACACTCCAGGGGGTGCTGCAGCACCCTCAGCACCCTCAGCACCCCTACTTCCCACGGTAATGAGTGCATTATAGGCATGTGTACCTAGCAGAGCAAGTTCAAGCAACACACATTTTTTTAAATCAAAACTGCAAACAGGTTTAGACATGTTCGCTTTAAACTTTACACTTCTGCTAAAAAGAAAATTACAATTTGTAAATGAATATATTTGGCTGATGTTGAGAGGACAACCTGTCTCACCGTAGTCATAGGACTGATGGAACTTCGCATATAAGATTTTGACTGACAAATTCCAGTACGGCTTGACTTCTTTCTGTTGAAAGCAAACAACCAGAAAAAGAAAATGAAGTGGTTGAAAAATAGTGTAATTTGATTACGAAAGTGTATGTACAACAAATGATCTATGATCACAAGATATACACTGTTTACTAACATAGACAGTTAAAACAAAGTCAAAAATTACAACTATAGAACTTCAGTTTGTTATAAATAGTGTCTCTATACAAAAATCTCAATTACAATCATTTAAAGAAACCCAAGAGGAAATAGCTAACCTTAAGCATTGTTGAATGTTTGCACAGAGATCTGGATCCAGCTGCCTGAGAATCTCAAATGAGAATGCATGTGAATTCCAAAGGTGGTGCATGCACAGCTTGAAAAGCTAGTTATCCTGCTTATAAAGTCACAAGTCAACCTTTTCATCCACAATGCCTGTTTTCATAACACATACTGTAAATATTGCTAAGACATGCCAGAACATGACAGAACACTATGGCAGTGAACTGATATGAAGAGACCATACATTCACTCTGAAGGGGAATTTGACATAAAATTCCTCTTCAATGACATTATTTTTTATTTGATTCTACAAAAACATTGTAAAGCTGTCATCTCTCTCACAATGATTCACCCCGTTTCATTTCTAAACTTATGTAAGTGTTCATATTGCAAAGTTTTGTTATCTCTGTTCTTTAATATCCAAAATGATGTCTGATGTTCTGCTTATATTAAGTTGCATTATTTCAGTCTGGCACATTCACTTGCTGACTTATTTTTCAATAGATTTTAAGTGGATATTCACCCAGATCAATGAATGCAAGGTTGCTCCAGAAGAATATCTTCAGGCTGTCTAGGTCTGTCTGGGAATAACTTGTAAAGTAGCTTGAGTGCTGTTCCTCTTTTTAAGCCTATTTCACAAGGTCATGGCTGCTATCCTATTCAGCTAAAACATTTTCTGACTCGTTAAAATTCACATCCCATTTCTTTGTGATTCTGTAACATGCAAATTTAAATACAAATAGAAAATGAGAATGATATGATCCATTACACCTATTATTTTGTTATTTTTTAGCATTTGATTGGAAGAACAACCGCTTTTCTTTTTCTTATCCCATAAAAAGACTATTACTTACCTATAAATTACATAACAGTGTCAACACGTTATCATTGCCAGTATTGTCACTGTTTGTGTGTGTGTGTGTGTGTGTGTGTGTGTGTGTGTGCAGGTATCGCCCAAGGTGTCCAAAAACAAGTATGTTGCCAGTTGGCGGGGCAAGTACACCTTATTTTAAAGGGGTCATATGATGCTTTTTTAAAGATCATTAAGTGGATGCTGGGAGTGAGTGCGTGTGTGAGAGACACGTGTGGGAGAGCGTTTGGCATTTTTTCGGTTTCTTTGTTTTCAAGCTGATTATTATCTCTTGGTTTTTCTTATTTACTTTTTTATTTTCTTTCACATTTCTGAACACTTTTTTTGTTATTAGCGTAGGTTTTATTCTTATATCGCGTGGTGTGTGAGTGCGAGGCAACATGACGTCTACCCCCGTGGGGGGAGCGTCGCCTCTCACCCTCCGGAATGGTTTCAGGTGTACATCGGAGGCGAATACGTCTATTGAGGATGTTCTCCTTGCTGTAGGAGCCAAAGTCGGTCATGAAAATATTAGTTCGGCTTCAAGAATGAATAAGGCAGTAGTTGTTTTTTTGAAAATTGAAAATCAGGTAAAAAACTTGATTGAAAGCGGAATATGGATGAATGAAACGTAGGTGCCTATTACACCGTTGTCGGTACCGGCAACGAAAATTGTCATTTCTAATGTACCCCCGTTCGTTGGTAATGAGAGTATCATTAAAGAGCTGACTAGATTTGGCAAAATTGCCGGTGCTGTAAAAGATTTCGTTGGGTTGTAAAAATGCTGCACTTAAACATGTGCTATCTTTCAGAAGACAAGTTTACATGTTTTTGAGCTCTCCCACTAAAATGCTCGATGTGTCTTTTCGGGTATCTCATGGAGAGGGCTCATACATGGTGTACGCTAGTACAGAGACTTTGCGGTGCTTTGAATGCGGAGATTTTGGACACAAACGGTTCACACGCCCGCACAAAGCACGTAATCCTGAAGAGGAAGGCCCATTCAATAGGCCGCAGATTGTGACGGAGAGTACAACGCAACAACCTGAAAAGGCAGATACTATCACTGAGGCAAGGCAAAATGTTTTAGAAAATATTGTGAATGGTGCTGAGATTCCAAGTTGTAGTGATGTGGTTAGCAAGGGAGATGCTTGTGGTGATTCAGTACAGGAAAATGAGACACATGATGGGCAAAGTGAAGAAATGGATTTGTCAGAAACAACTATAGAAAGTTGTAGAGATGATGATTCATGTGCTGACTTTGATGTGGCTAATTGTGGAAGTGATTTGTATTCGGTTGAGCAGATTAATGCTTTCTTGGATGAGACAAAGGGTAAAAAAGTTGAAATTGTAAAGTTTTTTCCAGATTTAGATAAATTTGTGTCTTCTGTTATGAAAGCAAGACGAGAATGCAACCTAGAAGTATTAACTCAGCAGAAAAGGTTTCGATTAAAAAAATACTTAACAGCAATTAGGCAAGGAGTAAAACCGGTCAGGGCGAAACGCCGGGCAGGGAAATGTAAACTAAAATAAGTGCACAATGGCTATCAGTCTTTCCTTTTGCTTTCTTCTCACACTACTGGTTCTTTCTACTTTTCTATCCTACCTTATTATGGATGTCCTAAGAGTGGGGTCTCTTAACGTAAATGGGATTAGGGATAAAAATAAATGGTTATTACTAAAATAAAGTATAGAACTACAAGAGATTAATGTGATGTTTCTACAAGAATCACAGTGATATAAATAATGAAGTAGATTGGGGTTTGTGGTCCGATGGTCAGTTTGTTCTTAGTCATGGAACAAATTTAAGTGCAGGGGTGGCAATATTGTTTTCTGCTGAATTAAATGTAAGCATCTTATCTGTTAATGAATTAGAAAGAGGGCGGCTTCTTTTAATTAAAGCTAAAATAAAAGATATAAGTTTTGTCTTTGTTAACATTTATGCACCAAATATTGGAAGGGACAGAATTAAGCTTTTTGAGATGCTTAAAAATACTCTTATATCTCTTTCACAAGAAGAGTTTTTAATTATTGGTGGAGACTTTAATTGCACCATTTTATCAAAGTGTTTGGCAAACAGACTTAAATGTGTTAATACAGAAAGACCAAACATATTGTATACCCAAAAGGTCTATTTATGATAATTTGTTTTTAATGAGAGATATTATGGATTATGCTAGAATATATAATGTTGATTTTGGTTTGCTTTCTCTGGATCAGGAGAAAGCTTTTGATCGTGTGGACCATAATTATCTTTTTAAGGTTCTTGAGTGTTATGGGTTTGGAGAACATTTTTTATCATGGATTAGAATATTATATACTGATGCTGTAAGTATGGTTAAAATTGGAGGAGGTTTAAGTGTACCAATTCAAATGAAAAGAGGGATAAGACAAGGGTGCCCTATGTCTGGTCAGTTATATGCTTTGGCAATAGAGCCTCTACTTTGTTTATTAAGAATTAAATTAACAGGTATTTTAGTAAGTGAGAAGCCAGAAGCTGAAGCTATTAAGCTCTCAGCTTATGCAGATGATATAACTGTGATGGTTAGAAATAAACATGATATTCAAGTTTTAAAGGAAGCTTTAAAGATTTTTGAAGGAGCATCATCAGCCAAACTTAATTGGGAAAAAACAGAGGCATTATGGTGTGGCTCTGAAAGAAGCTCTCTGCCTGAACTCCCAGAAAATGTTAAGTGGGGAAAGTCCGGTATTAGATTCTTAGGTGTATATCTTGGAAAAGATGAATATAGGATGAAAAATTGGGAAGGATTAGTAGAGGGAGTGCTTGTTAAGTTGTCTAAATGGAAATGGCTGATAGCTAATAATCTTATAGCTTCCACCCTTTGGCATAAAATCTATGCACAATTAGCTTGTAACACTCCAAAGAGAAAGGAAAACTTGAAATCGCATCATATGACCCCTTTAATTAATTGTACAGCAGTACAATGCAAAAGAGGCGCTGTTACAGTCAACCAATTACTGACTCCGCCAGTTGTGCAATGACTAATTCCTGTCTTTCTTTTAGGACAGTGTCTAATAATAGTTCAGTTTGTCTCCACCTGCATTTTGAACATATGACCACATATTCACCCTCCACTCACCTGTCAGGGAAACAAACACTGGACAGACTGGAAAGTCTAAACTATTCAAAATACTTTATTAATGGACCTGAATGAAATCACAGGCAGCATGAGCAGAGGATAATGGAGATGGGAGATGAATTGTGAGTATCCACACATACACACACACTATTAAACAGTCACTGAGAGATACTAAACACTTACCTGTTGTCTTGTAGGAAGATCAACAGGAGACTGGAAGGAGGAGAGGAGTAGGAGACTGGAAACAAGGACGAAGAGAGGATCAAGGAGGTAAATGTTCTTCAGCTGAGTAACAATGCAAACAGATGCAGTCTTCGCCATAAACGAGACCAGACAAGGCCTGTGTGTGTGGAATTTGTAGCCAAAACTGTAAGGTATGCGCCTACACATGAATTAACTTGAAATGAATTTACTGTAAATAATTACCGGAGTAAATAAAAATGACAACTGGCCTTGTCACTATCATGCAATGTCGTTATGCCAACAGGAGATGGCGTCAGTCGCTTAACTGTAGGGGACTGAGCAAAATGTCACCACAAACACTGTGGAAACAGTGGCAAATGTGATCAAGGTCTATTTCCGTTCTCCACTCTTTCCTGACTACCTTTAGATAGCCTACTTCTCAAACTTGTCCAGTGGCTCAATTAACCAACTGCTGAAATATGTCTAGGCATGTTAGCCTACTCACGGTATGTGTTCCCAGCTTTTGATCACATTCTTCACTAAAATAAATCTTAGGAAACACCTGAGATTTCAGTGTGTGTGTGTGTGTGTGTGTTTTTGTGTGTGCGCAGTGAAGGTGTCCTAACCAGACTTTGTATTGACTGCATCTATT